TGAATCATCTTGAAATCAAGAGTGCCTCGTGTGCCGAAACGCGAGAACGATCTTCTTCTATGATCTCGCCAAGCCGTGAATAACCGATTGCATTCGTTCTCTTTTCACGACTAACAAAAAGATTTATGTCAATAAGCTGCTTGAATTAAGAGGAATTTGTCGTTAGCTCGAGAAGCATCGAGCAAGCGTTAATAGTGCGGCACTCAAATTAATAGCATTCATTATCATAGCAACAAAGAGCGGAAACTCGTAAAACGCGTAACAGAAAGGGGCTGGCAAGATTTATTTGCTCATGCTTAAACACCCTCGTTTGAGAAGCGACAGAAAATGAGAGAATATGCAGCATTAAACTTTAACGCGTTTTACTATGCCTCAAATATCATACTTAATGTGCCGTGACTGCTTGAATTATTCTAAATCGTAAATGCGTTTACTACACATTATAAAAGTATAATTCGATAAGATTAATATCAAATAGTGACAATTATATGTGAAGAGAGTATACATATAATTACATTAAAATCGTGAGTTGGAACCGTCCTGCACTTTTCTTAATACTAACATACTATATCAATAATTAATGTAAATCGATTACGTTTTACATTAATCACTTGTTCTTAAATTATTATGCGATGATTTGGCTTTGTTATACTGCGTCAATGATATATCTTTCAGACGTCACCGATATATAATGGAGATTTAATAAAAAATAATTTAAATTCACAAAACTTCGAGAAGTCATGAAACATCGCGACTTTGAACAATCGAGACACAACGGTGTGCCGCACATACAGTCAAGTATCACCTGTTGAATCGTTCCATCTAACGGAACGCACATTTTCCTGGAAATTGTATGTTCTGCAGAGAGAAAGAGGGATTGCATGTGTACGTGTGTGACAAAAGGGCACAAGAGGGGAAGAAGAATAAAAAAAAATATACATTGAAATACAATCGAGTATATTCGTCATATTTCATCGTGTTTTACATCGAATTTATATCCTCCAAAATTATATCCTTTACTCAAAATTACATATGTGAAAAATATTACAAAAGAATTCGCGGAATTCAAGAATATGTTGAATGCGCAGTAAAATAAAAAAAAAGCCCATAGGTTTTATATAGAAACTTGAGATTTCGAAATTTCCAAAAACATTCCTGTTTTCTCGTAAAATTGATCTTTTTCTCCGCTATAAGAAAAAAAAAAAAACGACTACTAACCACAAAATATTAACTTTTGACAAAATGTTCCCAGAGAAAATATAATTTTAAAAAGATCATAACGGCGTAACTTATTGACTGTTATAAATTACTCGAAAATATTTGCAATTTATAGAATTTATCTCCCCAATAATATATACGATATTAAAATATATTTTTATAGAAAAAAATAAGCAGCCTAAGGCAGGCGTTGCAGTAATGGTGATACGAAAGCGTCTTCAGCAGTGCACGAATATAGAACATGTAGGTAAACAGTAAGAGAAGAGAGAAAGAAAGAGAGAGAGAGAGAGAGTAAGGAAGGGAAGGAGAGAGAAAAGGGCGGAGAAGTTTACGCACGCGTGCACGCGCGTGTCATGTCGACACGCATTGGCATCGGCTACGCACGCACGCACGAGCACGCGTATATCCGCACGCGGCCGCCCGCTTTTTTCTTCCTCTCTCCACCACCCCCGCGCGACAGTAGTGATCCCGCCTTCTCTCCGTCTGGCTCGTTCGTCCCGAAGGCACCGGACGATTTATGCCCAATTGCACCCTAATTACTGTAATGGCACGACTCGGGCACAGATGGTGTACGGAGTTAAGTAACTGTCGCGGCCCGCGACTGAATACAATCGCTTCAATAATTTCGCCACTGGTATTATCGAATATACGTAAACACGTGCGAGAATTAATATTAAATTGCTATTTGGCGTTTGGTAACGAGGTTCTCGACGGATTCCTCTTGTTATTGATGGTACATCATACCGAAAAATCTATTTAGTTGACTTAAACAAAATTCTTGTTTAAATATAAGTAAACAAACGTCTTAATTGTGAGAATCAAAATTTGTTTCTCCGAACCAAACCTTTTTCATTTTCATTTCAGAGAACCAAACTTTGATTTTCAGAACCAAAACATTTGTTTGGCCACGTCTAAACAAAAATTTTGTTTTAGTCAACTAAATGGGTTTCTCGCTTGAACTCCATTTGATTCGCATTATCACTTTACGATAAGATAGAAACAATCAAATAATTGATGATGAATCTCTAAAGTTCGCGACCTGCTCGTTCATTTATTCTTTTAGTTCATGGTAATACGATCTGACGTTTATTTTCTAATATCGATATTTCTCGCACTGAAATTTGCAAAGTAATGAATCTTGATAACTCATCATTAATTTCAAGGAACTTCATCGATAGCGAGGAAATTGGATTTAATGAAAACAGATATCCTGAACTTAAATGTAAGAACGGTGGTTTCTGCAGTGCATAAATGCGTAGTGATTGAAAATTATTATTACTACCTTTCCCGTAACTTTCCTAGTCATCTACGAGCACGTTCATTTTCCCGAATGCAAAATATATACTCCTGAGTTCTGAAAATGATCCTTTTCTGAAGTAACAAATAGTCAATCGTAGTATATGAAGAATCGCAAGAATGAGCAAACGAATAACGGTACGATAGCGCGGCATGTGGATAATACGTGCTTTAAAACTACCATAGCCTGTGGATTCAGGAACCCTAGAGACTTTATTTAAGGGTTAGAAACATCATGTGTTCCACGCTACAATTTTCATATCATTCGTCATCATTTTTCAATTAAATTTTTCCTCGTAAATGTGTAAATGTCAAACAGTTAAAAAAAAACTGCGGATACTTGATACTTGTAAATTAATTTGTATCACAGCACTAATCCCGGTTGGTGTCAATTAAATGGTATTTGATCGAAACATGAAATTCTTGACGGATGCTACTAGTAAATTTCGCGAAAATGAGCACGGTAATGAACATCACGAGGGGTAGCAATGGCAAGTGGTGGCACCCTAGCGACTAGGAGTTCATTCTGCGCTCGTCGATATTTAATGAGACAATCACTGAAGGCGCGAGAGGGACGAAGCGGGAACTCTAACGTATCAGTTAAAAATTGATTACATACAAAGGAAACTGAGATTTCCTCTAATGTACTGTACGATAATACCAACGTAATAAATATTAATTGCAACCTTTCTTTTGCCTATCAGTAAAGAGCTACAAGTGTGTTAAATTAATATTTTATGGACATGACGGTGAATTTATAGTAACCTTAATAGCACAATAAGTCTTCTGAAATAGTAAGTTTGCTCGTTCACTAAAAAGACGATGTGGGATTGTAAAAGAGAACAAAAAGTCATTAAATTGCACCTAAATTTCGCGGAAGAAAACGACAATTAAAAAAAAAAAAGGGATAATTGTCTTGCGATATTCCTTCTCCCCATTACCTTCTACGTTTATTCGGACTTGTTGGATATTCATTAACGTTACATCTCGATAGAGCGGCGCGTGAAAGTACGCGAACGTATCGACGCACGTCCCGCATCCGGTCCCGGAGGAAACGACGCACCGCAGAAACGATTCCCGTGGGGGAGAGCCACAGAATCGTTATCGAGTTGCGTTATATGCCAAATTAAAGGGGTACGGTGAAACGTTATGGGGTCGTGCTCGTGGCCACGCCTCGTCTTGAGCTCTATTACTTTTCTCCCTCTCCAACACGGCCAACGCGGACAAAAAGCCGAACTCGAAACGATTTGCCGCGGCGCCGTCGGGAAACAGCGTGTTTCATTAAGTATTTATGTCGTATCTCACGATTTAGCGAAGTAGAGAAGGTCAGAAATTGGAAGTTAAGTATCCTTCTGAGACTACAAAAATGTAGAAATTTTCTATGAAGCCATTTACTGTACCACTCTCTCTCTCTCTCTCTCTCTCTCTCTCTCTCTCTCTCTCTCCCTCTCTCTCTATTTTCTCGATTCGCTTCCAATATGCTTGGTAGAATACATTCTGCATTTTTAGTTCCCTACTACGTAACACGCGTTTCATAAAAATACATTTTTTTAAATTAATTTATTATCTCGATAATAAATTTATGAAATATCCGGTAAAATAATAATTGGTAAAATAATTTTCATATAATACATTTTATAACTCATCATTTCGCAATTTACGAGCCCTTGTTCGTTTATTCAGTGTGTATCTCGGCTAAGTGTTACGGAACGCAACGCGCACGATTAGATGTGTAAAATACATTGCATACTACATCCGGTTTGTTGCCAATTAGCCAAAAATAGTCCAGCAGCTGGATTCTAAATGTGAAACAAGATCCGTTACTCCGAAAGAAGTCGCATCGCGCATTTCAATAGCCTGTTTAAAAGCGCGCCTCAACTTTCTAATGGTAGATATTCGCGAATGCAGCGAGATACGAGCACGGCAACCTGTATCGCGATAAACACAGTTTCGTCTTCTTATTAATCAAACATCATTCAGGCCAACTCCGTAATTATATAATTATGCACCCGCGGTGCAAGCTAATGGTACCTGTCCGACACTTTCTGCCCCCTCATTATCCATCTGTTATTCGAGATCCATGTATCTTCTGAAGTGTGAAAAGAAGATATCGCAGGTTCGATAGATTGTTGATTGATAATATGTGATTACGAGAAATCATTGTCATATAATCACCGTTACGTATTAATCATCAAAGCTTTCACAAGTTTAATTAATCCGATAAAACGAAATATTTTTGCTTGAATAAACAAGACCCGAAAATTAAAAAAATTCATGAATGTAAAAGTTAAATCATAAAGTAAGCAAATGAGAATAACTAAAATAAGAATCTGCCAAAATTAAATGTTTTCCTATTATCTTTCATTCGCAATCCTATTATATCTCATTCGCAATGAGAGCGTGTCGAAAATAGCAAGGAACGATCGTGAATTTGTAACAATACCAAATCATCGCAAAACAATAAAATGATGAATAAATTGATTCACCGGCCGCTGAGCAGTCATCGCACCGCAGTCGCTGTCTCAGGAACTGCTCCTGCCCAACAAAAATTTCATATAATTATACATTTATTAATATTACATAAAAGAGATTATAAAATAGTTTTCTTATGTCTCAGATTAGAAGCCAAAGTCTAATTGGTTAAGTTAGACTAAGGTCTAAGTTCTATCAAGAATCACGACTATATCTACGATCAAAAAATTATGTAAATTTATGGAATATACGACAGAACGCTCATTAAATCACATTATTACAATACAATAGCAATTACAAATAATACTATTACACGTATTAATTATGCAAGTACGGTAGATATTTCTAGATACTGAACACTCACCAACAGCCACTCCGCCGTTGGCCTGATTGCAGCTGCCCGCATCCCGTCCATTGTCATCGGAATGTTCCAACTTTATTTCACCGACACGCGCATATGAATACGAGACGACTGACAGACTGCGTACGACCGCACGTTAATTAACCCGATATAATTATCGCGCGACGTTTCATCCGGTACTCCCCATGTTCACGGCACGGTTTTATCTTAGATATCTTAGATACGCGGTATGACGGAGCAATGTAAACGAAACGATGAAACGCGAAATAAATGAAGAACGTAAGAAAAATAAGTCGCTCCCATGCCTGCATTATTTCTTATATCGACGTGATTCACTTTTGACGAGAGTTGAGTGAGGAATGCGCGACGTTATCGCGTGTTTATGGTAAGACAGCCGAAACGACCTTGCTGTGAACTTGACGCGACGCTCGCGCGGACTCAACGGCCGACTACACTGTTTACCCGCTTTCTCCGCACTCGGCGCGCGCATTGTTTATCCGATGATCTTCGCAGGAAGATCGTCGACCGTAACCTCACTTACCGATTAACGCGATGTGATGACAATTGTCTATTGACGCACGCGTATTTACGCAAATACGACCGACGAAATGTAGCCGAATATCACGCATTAATAAACGACACAATCATCGCGCGACAATCTACCGTCCGCCATTTTTGATGCTCAAGAACGCCTCACTTTAGACGAGCGGAATATCTCAATAAGACTGGTTCATCCGAATACGCGGAACGACGGAAAAAACCGCAATCGTACGATGTTCAACCGTCCGTAAGCCGAAACGACAATACATACGTACCGACAATGCGCGACTAAATCGTTCCCAACGCTTAGAAAACGACACTGAGAAAAAAGATCGAAATTTTCCGGAGAAAATGTTTCTCGCGATCCCTCTGCTCGGCGAAATTCACGGCCGAAAATAACGATTAATCGTACACGTTAATGCGACACGAAAATCACCCGATATTTTATTCGGCTTTCGCAGTATTACCTTCAGCTTTTCGTGATACAGCCGATGCTCGCTCGTGTCGACGTGATTTGCTTTCGGCGATAGATGAGATTCGCGAATGCGATGTAACAATTTTCTGATGTTTTACTCGGCGTTCGCGGCATTTGCTTCGACACTCCCGATGCGACCTGTTTCTGACGGAAAAATACGCGAGAAACTCGCGAACGTGGCGATGCTATCGTCAGAGAAACTAATTTTACACGGTAACGACGGTTCTACGTGCACGAAATCCGATAATCCTGAGAAAAATTGCGAAAATACGGCCCACCATAACCTCACTTATTGATTAACGCGATCTGAAGATCACCCGATGCTTTATTCGACGCTCGTCTTCTTACGATATTCTCGATAATCACGTATGCCGAGACGATTTATTTCCGAAAAAAAGGTAATTCGAAATGCTCCGACATTATTCCAATGTCAAACGTTTTCACACGAAATAACCGGCGGCGAAACACAAGCGATTACGATCGCCCGTTAACTAACGCGGCGGAATCGCGCGATGCTTCACTCGGCACTGCGACATGTCACGACGTGTTTCACTTTAGACAAGCGGGATATCTCAATAAAACCGTTTCATCTGAATACGCGAAACGTGGAATGCGGAACGAGGTTGCGCGGGAAGACTGCAGGATTTGTCGATAAACTCAGAGATCCGGTTTCTCATTTTCTGGTTTACATGGGGTTTAGATTTAATCCGACAATAATGCAAGAATTATGTTTTCTACTCACGGTTCGCAGGTGAAAATACGAGATGAATCGTGCGTGTTAAATGAGACGGGACGATTATCCGATATCCCGATCGGCACTTCGCGCGACACTTTTCTCGACATCTCACGACGCTCTCGATCACGTTCACTCATATCGACGTGATTCACGAGAGATGACGCGCGACGTTATTACGTGCTTATGGTAAAACAGCCGAAACGACTTTGCCATGAACTCGGCGATACGCGACGCTCGCGCGGACTCGCGCGGTACTACACTGTTTGCCCATTTTTTCTACACTTGGCGCGCATATTGTTTACGGAAGCGTCGAGAGTCAGTAAATTCCGTGCGCCGAATATTGTCGATCCTGTACGATCAGTTGCAATGGCCGTCGGCGATGATAGACAACGCGGAACGCGGTGTCCGCGGTTTTCTCGATCCATTCGTCGTCAGATGTAAGTCGTCTTGATGTAAGTATCGGGAATGTTGAGGGAGCTCGAAGGAAATATCGTGGGCAGCGTTTGTCAAATATGAGATGCTGTCATATAGAAATATAGTGGGGAGGGGGGAGGGATACAGACGCAAAGTTGTGTGCGCTTCACGTTTCGATTAACTTTGATTCGTATGCGATTTTCAGTTGTGTGCGTCTTCTTTTTAGCACTCGCTGATCGTGAGTGCAGAATATTAAGTGATATATCGCGTTGAGCCGCGCAATTAACTTTTTAGTGCGCCGCTAAAACGACGGCTGAAATGACGCTCTGGGCAAGTACTATGTTATTACAGATCCTTTCGGAATTGATTCCTACCAGAATCGTTCAGTCATTTCCTATAAAATATCAGATAAAATCTAGAGGATAACAAGAATGTTTTGTATTATAGGATTAAATCTAAAATCGCGTGTAAACCAGAAAATGAGAAACCGGGTCTTAGAGGTTATCGATGAATCCTGCAGTCCGTTGCACCGCATTCCACGTTCCGCGTATTCAGATGAAACGGTCGTTATTGAGATATCCCGCTTGTCTAAAGTGAACCGTGTCGTGGACTTGTCGGAACGCGGAATGAACTATTGCGCGATGATTCCGCCGCGTTAGTTAATATATTCGCGCGCAATCGATCGTAATCACTTATGTTTCGTCGGTCGTGTTCGTATGAACGCGTGTATCAGTGAAATAGTGTTGGAGCATTTCGAATTACTTCGGAAGTAGATCGCGTCGAGATAAGTGATTATCGAGAATGTCGAACGAAGTATCGGTCGATTTTCGGATCGCGTTCAATCAATAAGGTTATGGTGAACAGTATTTTCGCGATTTTTCCGGGAGGATTATCGGATTTCACGCACGTAGAACGTCGATGCCGTGTAAAATTAGTTCTTCCGGCGCCGAGCATCGCGGCGTTCGTGAGCTTCTCGCGTATTTTTCAAAAATATTTCAATCGGAATCGATTCCAAAAATGTCCATAATAGCACCCTGATCGTCTTGTCTTCGGTAATAGAGCACAGCGTGTCGCCATGTTTGCATCAGCTTTTCCTCGCTGAAAGCAAGTCATGCCGATATAAAAAAAGATCGCGAGTGTTAGTGAAGTGCGGAGTTTGTCGAAGAACATTGAGCAAAGGAAAATCAAACTAGCGAACGCTGTTTTCCAGGAGTCGCCCTCACTTGGACACCGATACGAGGAAAGGAAGCAAAACTATAAAGTATGTAACATCTTACCTCATATCGAGCATCTTCTATTGTGTGCCCTAAATATAAGATATGTGCATTTTAATGGAATCTTTTGCATTTTTGATGCTGGTAATCAAATACATATTTTCGTTTCAAAAACACGGAGGAGAGAGTTATCCGTATAATATAACTGAAATTTCATCATCAAACCTAGTTTCTAGCTGTGGGAGCTAAAAACCAGGTACAGGGACAAAACGAATTTAATTAAATTAATTAGATTTCAGTTGTCATTAGACTGTATTGCAATGCGAATTTAATTAAATTAATTAGATTTCAGTTGTCATTAGACTGTATTGCTGAATGGTTAACGTTTACCCATGGAAGTTAGATTTTTAGCTGTGGACGCTATCTCTTTTTTTTCCGTGAAGATAGCGGAAAGATAAACGAGCGCAGCGCCTAATCGATCAATTCTGGTGTATTCAATTTCCGATGTTACAGATACGGAGAAGTGTATACCTCTCTTTCCGTATTCTATAGTATCGAGATCGCGATTGATTGGACCTTAATATACAAATTGTGAGCTGGTATACCATCTGCTGAAAATTAAAATTTTATCAGATAAATGTCTCGTCTTAACCCAGCGCGTTTAAGAGCATGGAAGATAGAAAGGAGAGACACGCGGAATAAAATAGTTCAGCTGCCAGAATATTGTATAATTAAATTAACATAATTAAATTGGTCTCTTTTAATTACTCGGGCAGATGATTCTTTCACATAAAGTTTCGTGCGGATATATGTTTCATATCCCTTAACAATTATCTTTGGAAACTGAAATAACCTTCATGCTCATCCACATATTTCGCGTTTCTTATATCTTGTTCTTACATTTTATCTCGTACGCCATGCTCGATCGCAGACGTACTTTAATGTCTCCAGCTATATTAATTGAACACCGTAGTTAAGCGCAGCTAAGCGAGCAGTAGCACGCTTACATACTTAGTTCCCAACTAATGACTAATGGATAAAGCGGACGAGTTATGCTAATAAGTGCGCACGAGCACCAGAGCGCATGCTTCCATGAATATTCATGCTGCTATCTGATTACGTCACTGATTGCCGGCATTCGAAAGTGTTTGCACGCCAAAGTCCGCTGACGTATCGCGCCTACCCAATGATCCTGTCGATGTATCGTTCTGCGATGTGCCACGCAAAAAACGCAGACGCTCATTCATCCCCCCCCTCTCCCCAAAAAAGAGGTTTAAGAAACCCAAGAAAATGTAAATATTCAGTCGAGATCCAACAATATTCGTTTCCACTATATTTTACTTATTAATTCACTGCATATATTATATTCATTACTATTGCACAAATCTTGTGCAATACTGCGCAATACTTAATATGACTTAAACGAAAGTGACAGGTGTACTTTTTAGGTACGTCACATGTTTCGCAAAACTGGGGAAGAAAAAAATTGAAATTTAGACTATTGTTAAATGACGATGATGGCTTTATTTTTCAAACGCATAAAAGATATCACCGCGTCTTAACGTCTGATCCTGAGAGCGATAATGCGAGAATTGGATTTTAGTATTTAGAATAAATTTGTCGCAATGTAGATACAAGTAATTACGCGTAGTGATGATTGATTTCGAGTTAGGGCCGTGAATATTCCAGGTCATTTCTTCATGAGGCGCGAGATAACTACATGCAGATTCAAAGCGTAATTATAATGCATATTCGCAAAACGAAGGCGACAAAGATGTAATCGTGGCTATTGCGAAAAAACAAATTAAGTATCCTAATTTTATATCGGACGCAAACACGCAGCGATTATACGTGTTTAACAAGCTGTTAACGTTACGACGCCCGATAAATGCACGCGTTGTTTATTCGCATTGAGACGAAAAAGGAAGAACGTTACTCGCGTGTGTAGTTCCTTTAATTGCAATTACTACATTATTTACATTCACTGCAGTTTACCGCGATAGCGCACGACGCACTACCGTCACGCCACAATCAAGGAGCTTTAACCGCGCACCAATTAACGGCGGTAAATTGAAATTACTACTTAGATCGCTATTAAAACCGCATCTTTTCCGCGTTGCTTG